CAAAAGCTTTCAAGATATCCAAACCAACAGCTTGAACTTCACCATTCTTATCTAGAGCTTCATAGACTCTTTCAGCAATTATCGTCAGTACATCAGCAGTTGACCTAGAGAAATGAAAGCCATATTGATTGTATGAAAGAAGGCTCTGTAATGTGAAATGTTTAATCAATTTGGCATTGATTAGGGCCTCTAGTAGATTTCCCTAAAGAAGTAGAAGGCTAATAGCCCAATAACTGGAATGGTTGGATGGTTCACTGAAGTTCTTAAAAACTGGAACAACAGATAAGGATTTACAACAGACAGGAAAGCAAGAGGCAGTGAGGCATTTATTATACAGTTTAGAGAGAACAGGAGCCAGTTTGGGAGAACACTTCTTAAGGACTATTACAAAGATACCATCAGGTTCACATGCTTTGTGGGGATCCAGATTAGTGATGATAACAGATGAAATAGAAGTGGTTATATGTGTATCATTGATAGAGACTCAGTTCTAAGTGGGAAGTTAGGCAAGGATATTCCAGATGAGTCAAAAATAAAGTTTAAGGAGAATTTACAGGTGAAACATTCAGCTTTATCAGCAGAAGATTGAAACTGATTGAAGAAAGGAGGAATAGAAATCTTACTTTTATTTAATACACTATTACAGAGTATCCAGTAATCATGAGAGCCAAAGTTGTTAGATGCAATACAGTGTCTTATTCTCACAGCAAACAGAGACTTAGCTCCTTCCAGGAAATATTTACATTTATTATATTCAGTCATGAATAGGCATCTGCTGTGATGGGAACTGTCACTCTGGTAAAGCCAGAAATAGTGGTTCCTGTAGGCTAAAGCAGAAAAACTGGTGTGAATCATGTAGAAGATTAAGGTTATGTTACAACTGGTATTTCTGAGAAGGAATGAAAGTGTCTATGCCAGCTTTGAACCAAGAGGAAACCTCAGTTGTACAATTCTTAATAATGTCAGTCCAAGGAGCATCTCAAAGAAAGTCATGAAGAGAATCTCAATCAGCATATTGGCAATGGAAAGAGGTCTTATGAATTAAGGTCCCAGTCTATTTTGTGAGAGACAAAGAAAGGAGTGCTGAAGGACAATGTCATACAGTCTTCCAGTATGGCAGTGAATGCTGGACAAATTCCTCACAGATGAAAAGAAGACTTGAGACAATTCTACTGATTCATTTTCCAAGTTTGTGACCTGCTGGAACAACTCTTTCCTGAATCTGACAAATTGTTGTAACCTAGGGAAAGTTACTGAATAGAATAATCAAACAAAGGTTGGTAATGAACGCTAATACATAGGACAAGAACAACACGCATAAGATTCACCAGTGGCATGTAGAATAAGTAGTCAACTGCAAGAAGTGAGTCAAGTGAATTCCACAATGAATCTCCAACTGCAGACCAACATAAAGTATTTACTACTGTATTTATGTAAATGGGGACATATTGTCAGTAGGTATGCCACAACACATATTCTTCACTTTATCATTATTAGAGCTGACTTTTTGGCCTTGATTTGTGATTGATTTAACTTCTAAAGACTGACTTTTCTTTTATGTGCCATATTCAAAACGATCATGGCTCTCCACAACTTCCTACTGTCTTATTACTATCTCTCCTACTCCCTGTTTTGCGATTCATTTATACATGTTCAAGAGATGTGAGTAACCTGTTTCTCCTACCTTCAGTATGTCCTGTGAATCTCTAATTCTCCAATCCCTCTTTCTTCATTATGGGTCCCAAAAGTTTCAACACTCACTAAGCACAAATATCCTTTTTGTTTTCATTTTCTTTAAAACTTCCTCATTGTTCACATATTCTGTCCATGATATTCTCCGCATTCCTCTGTAAAGCTACATTTCTGTTACCTTAAGTTTCCTCTTCCTCTGTGAAGAAATTGTCCAACATTCACTGCCATTTTGGAATGCCGATATTACTTGGTTTAGCTTCTGGAAGGCATCATTCACTATTCCAATTCTCTTTTGGATTTCTTTGTCACATTTTTTTTTTTTACAAAAGAATTAAATTTCTATAATTGCTTGATTTTGCTATTTCTACTTCAAAGCTGCTGTTCTTGTTAATGACCATAACTTGCTATTTCAAAATGGATTTTTATGTTTATATCTTTTATTTATTCTCCTCATTAGATTCTGATCCAATTTTTTTTGTAAAATTCCCAGTGGACTACCTTTCTCACCCATTAATACCTACTTTTGTTTTCCTTCTGAGACAATTTGATGCATTCATTTATATGATGTAAGGGCTAATTTGCATACACTATAACTTTGCTATATATTATGTATCTTGCATTTCATAGAGTCTAGTGCACACAAAATTGTTCTGGGAAACCAATAATGACAATTTGGTTTCTCTCTTTAAATACCCTCTTCACAACCCTGTGGTCTATATACAATTTAATTTTTGTTTTTCCTTTCTCGTGTAATGGCTTTCTTCTGTCTATAGTTTCTCATTTCAGAAGTTTCTGACCTTTCATTTATCTTCCTGACAGCTTGATTAAATTTTGCCTGTCATAATTAAGCTTTCTTTACTTTGTGTTCCTCAGGTTGCTTGATAGAAGCAACAACATAATCCTCAATGCTGACAAGATTATTATTAATTATTGATATTATCTGTTAGAGAAACATTTTTATCTGTTGAGAAAGAAATAAAAGAAAGCTCTTCAGGAGAGAACAATGAGCAATATAATTTCCAGCCAATAATTACAAATAATATCATTAATAACAGAATTTCTTGTGGAGAATGATGTTAACAATATTCCTTGGCTAGCAAATGTCTTGCAAAACAATTTATTAAGCTTTCAGAATGATTTTCTGCTACTTTTCTTTCAATGATATTTTATTATTGCAGCTGAATACTTGATATTGATTCTTGGCAAATGTCGTTCTAAAATTTGCATTAATATTAATAAGATTTCATAAGATTTAAAGTAATATTATAATATTATACTTTGTGTGTCTGTTTGCTGTAAATAGTCAAAGCATTTTGAACTCTTAACACAAATTTGGTATGTGTAGTTACTGTGCCCAGGAGAAGCTTAAAACATAAAGAAAAACATTCCTATTCAACATAGGAAAAGTGTGTCTCTAAACAAGTCCTGTTTTAATTCTCGTGTAAACTAGACTTATTTCTACCTTTTTGATTCTACTTCAACCAAATATATGTCTAACTTTTGACTCAAATTTAAACCAGACCAGTGTGTAGCTTCTTGTTTCTAGTGTAAACCAGACATATGTCTACTGTTTTAAAAATAGTATAAGCTGAACCTATATCTACCGTGTAAATCTAATCTCTGTTTACCTCTCTGACTGTACTGCAAACAGAACACGTATCTACCATTTTGACTCTAGTGCAAACAGAACACGTGTCTACCATTTTGACTGTCGTGCAAACAGAACACGTGTCTACCTTTTTGACTCTTGTGCAAACAAAACACGTGTCTACCTTTTTGACTCTCGTGCAAACAAAACACGTGTCTACCTTTTTGACTCTCGTGCAAACAAAACACGTGTCTACCTTTTTGACTCTCGTGCAAACAAAACACATATCTACCTTTTTGACTCTCGTGCAAACAAAACACGTGTCTACCTTTTTGACTCTCGTGCAAACAAAACACGTGTCTACCTTTTTGACTCTCGTGCAAACAAAACACGTGTCTACCATTTTTGACTCTCGTGCAAACAAAACACATTTTTGTCTAGTCCAAACAGAACACGTTTTGACCTTTTGACTCAAACAAAACACATGTCTACCATTTTTGACTCTCGTGCAAACAAAACACATGTCTACCTTTTTGACTCTAGTGCAAAAAAACATATATCTACCTTTTTGACTCTAGTGCAAACAGAACATATATCTACCTTTTTGACACTAGTGCAAACAGAACATATATCTACCTTTTTGACTCTAGTGCAAAAAGAACATATATCTACCTTTTTGACTCTATTGCAAACAGAACATATATCTACCTTTTTGACTCTAGTGCAAACAGAACACGTGTCTACCATTTTGACTCTAGTGCAAACAGAACACGTGTCTACCATTTTGACTCTAGTGCAAACAGAACACGTGACTCTATTGCTAAAACAGAACACGTGTCTACCATTTATACTCTAGTGCAAACAGAACACGTGTCTACCATTTTGACTCTATTGCAAACAGAACACGTGTCTACCATTTTGACTCTATTGCAAACAGAACACGTGTCTTCCATTTTGACTCTAGTGCAAACAGAACATGTATCTACCTTTTTGACTCTAGTGCAAAGAGAACACGTGTCTACCTTTTTGACTCTAGTGCAAACGTGAACTATGTTTATCATTTTTAACTTTAGTTTAAACCATACCTTTGTTTTCTTTTGTTTTGTACAAAAAGAAACAGTGTGTTTTACTGTAGTGTAAATTGAGCCTATGTCTACATTTTTGACTTTAGTGCAAGCCAGACAAATATCTTAGCATTTTTATAATTTTTTGTAATTTTTGAGCCGTGAAACGTTATAGTGAACATTAAATAATCCAATAATAGTAGAAATGTCATGAGATCTACTGATATAACCTAATCATATTATAATTACATAATATTAATAATTGTTATTATTAATATAATTACTACTTTACTGAAATTATAATAATTATTATTACCCATATAATTATTATATTGTTACTATTATTAGTCTTATATTAAATAATATTCTGACAGTGATCATTAACAATATTTTTATTCAATCAGAACAAAACATCTTCTGTCATTAATGAAATGAGAATCATAAAAATTGGAAGAAAATTATGAAAAATATGAAGGAAAAATTTGTCAAAACAGATTTGAAAACTTCCTCAGAGATAACATTCAGTGAAAAGAAATAGTGAAAAATTCTTTAGAGGAAATAACTATTTATTTTTACTTTTAGCATTTCTAGTTGTTGCCATTCTTGTGGACAACTTGTTGCTGTTCATTTAAGAAAGGAAAGAAAGAGCACTACTTTCAAATCAAAAGTCTGCAAGAGAAAATGTTTATGCACCTTTTGAGAGCATAATAAGAGGCAGGGGAAGAAGGTAAGAAAAGACTGAAGGAGAAAGATATAGCATTTGTTAATATAGAAAAGAGAATATAATGAAAGAGGAAGAAGGAGGCAGGGAATTTGGAGGAGGAGAAACAAACCAATAAACAGTAGGGACAAGAAAGAAAGCAAGCAGGTGAGAGAAGAATACAAACTAAGTAGGAGAGAAAAAGAGGGGGAGAGAAAAAGAGGGGGAAAAAAAAGAAAAGTGAATGAAAAAAAGCAGAAGAATTTGTATCAGAAATACTTTGATTAATACTGGCTAAATACAGAAATTCACGGACATATGGCACAGTGGATAAAGGCGTTGGTTAGATCCAGTGACAGGACCCAAAGAGTGTGAGTTCAATACCCGGTTAAGGCAGTGGAGAACTTTCAGAGGGAATTAACAGGAGATAACTGATATCCATCGAAACATGGCACGTGGGACTAGAACAGTCTACCCCGGTGAGCGAAATAAAGGGTTCAGTTCGACATTTCAACCACCTGAAGAAGGCCAGAGAGTACAACGGCCGAAACATTGTGATAAATATGGCGACAAAGACGAGGACAATAGTCCAAATAATATAAATAATGTTCATGAGAATAGTTTGAATGTTCCAGATCCTAGCACTATTGAGATCAGTAAGAATACTAGGTAAAGTGCTGGAAATCTGAGGAGATTTGCTTTCACTCAGTCTTGAATGATAACACCAAATATCAAGTGCTACCTTATAAATGCAGGAAATAATAATAATACAAAAATACAGGTAATGCCATCATAAAATGGCATCCAATCTGCATTGGTACTGATGTAGGGTGCATGAACTTTGAACTTAAACAGGAATGGTAGTCACAAACCAGAGAAGGTGATTGAAAAATGACGAAGTCAAGATCTTGTAACATTTCAAGGTATAAACAGACTCCATCCTTGAGCCCATCAAACCAGATATCCCTGTTATTGAAAAAGAAATGCCTCCTCATCAACATGGCTGTTCCTGGTGACCATAATATCATGGTCAAACAAATTTGAATAATGCTGAATATTCTAACACTTCAGAAGTCTGCGTTGCTTGGCACAGCAAATATTCTGTGAAAGGTGCTCTGTGTCTGAGGTTGTATGGCTTAATGGAGAGCACCTATCATGCAAGATATCTAGTTGAAAACAAAAAGAGCTGAGTGGAAGAAGAAAAAATGGTAGTAATAATAATAATGATTATAAGCAATGACCTAAAGTTACAGCAGGCATGGCATTCATGGCTTCTTATCTCAACTGATTAGTAGTGTAAACATGTACATGTTTTGTCTGAGCAGACAGGGTTACTCAACCTGAAGATATTTCTAATTGGGTCCCACCATAACTTTGCACTTTGGGGATGAAAAAGACATTTATATCCAAAAATTACATTATCTGAATTAGATGAGGATTTAAAAACATGTATATTTTTATTATAATTTTTAGCCATTATTACATTTTTATCATAATGTTTTTATTTATTTAGTTAGTTTTGTCTGTTTGTTATCATTGTTGGTTTAACCAGGACAAGGGTTCTTATTTTCTTTCATAGTTTTCATTTTCAATCGGAGATCTTGCATTATATGGATTCTCCATCGCGTCATATGATCTCAGAGAGCATCTTTCACAGAATATTTGAAGTGCCAAGCAGTGCATACTTCTGAAGTGTTGAAATACTTAACATTATTCTAATTTTTTAAGCTTTTCAATTTCTTTGACCTTGATATTATGGTCAGCAGGAACAGCCACATCAATGAAGAGACATTTTCTGAAGCAATGAGATACTAATCAAAGTTATCAAAATCTGACACCATATAATTAGTTGTAATACATTTGTCTGCTATACTTTAATCAAACTGAGTTTCATGATGGGTATATTTGGTTTCATATATTTGAATTCTAGCATCTCTATTTTAGCATGCTGCTCTCTCACTCAGGAGACTACTAAATCTATTATAAAGGTTAGCTAATTCATGTTGTAGATACCTGCTTATGTAGATCTTTGTTTCATCAACACCCACAGAGTCAAACTATGGTTTATATTGTAACAATGCTGAGTAGATCTTAGTCACAGTTGTTGGGAAAGAATGTATAATCTGACACGACCAGAAGCTGAACAAACCCAGTAGCAGCAAACTCTCAGTCATAGTGACTTGTGATAAAGTTTTTTTTAAGCATTTCACCCGGAGCAAGGCAGGAGTGCTACTGGCATGCAGGTGGTTACAGAGAGTGAAATTGAGAGAAAAGGTTGTAGGGGGGGGATTGAGGAAAGGAAAAAAGGAGAGGGATCAAGGCAACAGAAAATGGTAATTGACATTGCATTTAAATTTTTGAAGATTGTACTTATCAGGGAAGCAAGTGAGAGGAAGGGAGTCCTAATGTCAGGAAGTGTTGGGAAAGAAACTGTTGGAGTAGAAGTAGCAGTTACATTTAACTATTTCAACAGTAAATGAGTGGGACCTAGGTGCCAATCTAGTAGCATGCTTAAATTCATGTAGTCAGGTCACCAGGTAAAAAATAGCTCATCAGTGCAGTAGTCATGAAAATATTTATAGAGAAGACAGAGGGAAGCCACATTACATCTGTGAGAAAGGACTGATTACATTACAGATCCTTCTTTGTCAAGAACATCAAGATGAACAGCAGAGCCATCAGACCACATATGACAATAGTATCTAATGCAAGGATGAATGATAGATTTGTAAATGTGTAAGATGCTCTCGAACAACTATTACCTTCTGACACAACACAATGAACCAACATTCCTTGCAATAGATGCAGCTATTGATTCAATGAAGTTGTTCCACTTCAGTGATAGTACAACCATCAATGGCTTCTGAAAAGCTTTGCTTATGTAATAATATGTTCAGGCCACTATTTCCCCAGTTATCATTGGGTTGTTGGGATTTATATCATCAAACTTAAAGTCCTACATTGAAAAAATTGGAATAGACTGTAATAGAAGTGACAGTGACTTACCAGGAGCAAAGCGAATTTGCTGCCTCACATGTCAAACCATTCTCTGAGAGTCAGTCGCGCGTGCATACGCCTACTGCCATTTTTATGCAGCAGACTTATTTGCATAAGAAAACAATGCTACCCATTAAAACCAGGCGAGTGGACGTGGGAGAGCATGGCTCTTCTAGGCTTCGGCAAGACTAGACATATTGCTGACAGAAAGCAACAGCAATTTCTGGACATCTGACAAGCTATTTCGGTGAATATGGACGGCCGGTTTGATTTAAAAATTATTCCCGAGTTTGACAGGACTGGATCTGTGGTTGAATGGCTCGAGAAGTTGGAATTGGTGTGCGACCTATCGGGTGTCATCCCTCTTTGCTTAACCAGGGGAGCATTTGCGGTTTACCAGCAACTATCTACGGAAGAGAAATTGGACGTGGCTCGAATCAAGGGAGCATTGATGACAGCATTTTCCCCTGATAAATTCACGGCATACGAACAATTCGAGGCACGTGTATTGCGTCCGGGTGAGACCGTAGATGTATATTTGGCAGATCTATGGAAGCTGTCTGTCCTTTTTGGAGGAGTGCCAGACAGTGCGATGGCATGCGTGTTCATGCAGGGGCTTCCTGATCCTGTGAAAAGGCTTCTGCGGCCCTCGGCCAGAGCAGATGATATGTCTCTCGAGGAGCTATTGGCCCGAGCTCGGGCAATCATAAAGGACGAGACAGCAGAGAGGGAACCAGTCGTCGCTGTAGTGCAGCCCTCCCAGACTCCTCGATCTTCCCCAGACTCCTCGATCTTCCCCAGACATAGGCCCACTTGTCACATGCTATGAATATAATGGGCCCAATCACTTCGCAAGGGACTGCGTGAAGAGGCAAAGGGCAACTAACACGCATTGCTATCGATACAACAAGTCCGGTCATCTGGCCAAAAATTGTCTGGGAAACGGAGGCAGGGACGAGATTTCAGTGCCGGTCCACTCCCCAAACAGCAAGTAAACTCGGTGCTAACCATCATTACTGTGTGTGTTGATGGCACACCATACTCGGTTCTCCTTGACTCTGGGTGCTCACGGTCAATCTTGAGCGTGAGTTTATGTCAGTCTTGGTCGAAGCAGGGTATGGCGGTATCTACATTAACCGGAGCTACGCAGGCTTGCTGTGGAAGGGGCACTGTCAGAATTTGCACAGCAACCAGTAATATTGCTACAAACGATGTGCTGGTTATGCGAGGGAAGCCCCTGGATTTCGACCTGTTGCTTGGCATCGACGCCATTAAGGCACTCGGTGGAGTTCGCATCACGCAGCATGGAAGCATGGAGTTTGAAAGACTACGGTCCGTCTGTGCAGCAATTCATATCAGCGAAGCTGATTTCAGTGCTGAAACCCGGGATTGAACCAGGGACCTTTAGATCCTAGCTGATAATGACACTGTATTCCGCAGTCAGCAATTCAAACAATTCACGGAAGAATGGGGCGTCCGATTCCGACCGCGCTGCGCATGCAAACCATTTGGAAATGGTATTGTAGAGAGGTGTCATCGGACAATCAAACAGATTGCTGTGCTAAAGAGCTGCTCTATTATGGTGGCCGTGTATTGGTATAACATCACACCCAGGGATGATGTGTCTGCCTCTTCTGTGCCCACCAATCTGCTGCATTCATACAAAATTGGAATAAAAGGAATTGACGTTGTGCCCTCACCTAACCAGGCAACTTTGACTCGGTATAAAGAAGGAGACGCAGTTTGGGTAAAAAATCCGCACGGACGCTGCATGTCAAAGTTTGTGAAAGGTCGTGTCACGGGGATAAACAGTTCACAGTTGGTAGTCATCGATGGGATACCGCGGCAAGTGGGAGATGTACGTCCATGGCTCACTTCATTGTTACCAGCGGATGATGGCGGTGACACAGCGTCAGAGAGTCATGAATTGCAAGAACCAAGCTCCAGTGCAAGCAGCAGCGACACCTCATCTGAAAGCGAGAAAGAAGTAGACTTGATCCTTATTGATCCCCCGGAATATGATTTAGACCAGGACACATCTGACGATTCAGCCGGGGAGGAAGACATGGTTATACTACCGTGAAGGAGTGCAAGGGTGAAACGATCAGCCCCTCACTGTCACTTATGTGATCATACAATCAGGGGGGAGTGTAATAGAAGTGACAGTGACTTACCAGGAGCAAAGCGAATTCGCTGCCTCGCGTGTCGAACCATTCTCTGAGAGTCGGTCGCGTGTGCGTACACCTACTGCCATTTTTATGCAGCAGACTTATTTGCCTAAGAGAACAACGCTACCCATTAAAAACCAGGTGAGTGGATGTGGGAGGGCACTGCTATTCTAGGCTTCGGCAAGACTAGACGTAGTGCTGACAGAAAGCGACAGCAATTTCTGGACATCTGACAGACACTAGTATCTCATTGCTTCAGAAAATGTCTCTTCATTGATATCACTGTTCCTGGTGACCATAATATCAAGGTCAAAGAAATTAAAAAACTTAATTAACACTTCTGAAGTGTGCACTGCTTGGCACTGCAAATATTCTTCAAAAGATATTCTCTAAGATCATATGAATCGATGGAGAGCCCACAAAATGCAAGATCTCTGGTTAAAATGCAAACTGTATGAAAGAAGAACCTTTGTCCTGATTAAACCAACAATGATAGCAAACAAACAAAACTAACTAAATAAAGGCATTATGACAAAAATGTGATAATGGCTAAAACTTATAATAAAAAATGTTCTTCATTCCTCATCTAATTCAGATAATGTAATTTTGGGATATAAATGTCTTTTCCATCTCTATCGATGGAAGATATCCTATAACAAAACAAAAGTATAAAATAAGGGAAGGACAAAACAAAGAAAATAAGAAAATTTCCAAAGAAAGGGAATGGAGAAACAGTATCAACAAAACTGGTGTATCCCCTTTTATAACCATCACCTGTCCAAGCAATAGACAATGCCTCACCGTTGATCATCTCACAAGACAAGCCAAGTTAAACAAAATTTGTCCGCTTGCCTGAGCGTGAAATTTGTTTTTTATTAGCGATGAAATTTTGCAGTATTGTTGGACAGCACATTCAGAGAGATGGTGCACAAATAAAATGATGATATCTGCGGCAAAAAAGGAGAAATAAAGAAGTGAATAAAATAAATAAGGGAGAAAAAGAAATAAAATATAAATAAAAAGACAGTTATCAAAAGATAAGAGAAGGAAGGAAATAGACAAAATTAATGGATCAATGAAATGTAATGACAACTGGATGTAAAATGGTTCAGTTATTGTGTTTATTATATTGAGTAGATATTGATATACAGTAAAAGGAGATATATATATATATATATATATATATATATATATATATATATATATATATACATATATTATATACATCTATTATATACACATATATATATACATACACATACATCTATTATATACATATATATATATATACACACATATATATATATCTATATATATATATATATATATTATATATACACATACACTATTATATATATATATATATTATGTATACATACATATATATATATATATATATATATATGTATACATACACATATATATATATATATATATATATATATACATATATATATATATATATATATGTATATATATATATATATATATACATACACATATATATATAAATTGTATACATACACATATATAAAATAATTATATATAAATATATATAAAATATATTTAATAAATACATATATATATATATATTATGTATACATACACATATATATAGACATACACATATATAAATAGTTAAACATATAAATGTCTTTAATAAATACACATATATATATATATACATACACATATATATAGTATATACACACACACATATATATATATACATACACATATATATTATATATACATACACATATATATAGTATATACACATACACATATATATATTATATACACACATATATATTATATACACACATATATATTATATACACACATACATATATATATTATGTACACATACACACACATATATTATATACACATACACTCACATATATTATATACACATACACACATATATATAACAGATAGATGTGAGTGTATGTAGGTAGATAATGACTGGCTACTTTAGTTTTCTGAGTACACCTATCTGCATAGGCAGTTAGCAAATCCTTTCTACAGACACCTGCTCAGGCACATTTGTTTTTGTTTAACACCCACAGTGCCCACCTGTTGTTTATACTGCAACTATGCTAAGCAGAGATGAGTTAAAGTTTCTAGGAGAGAGCAAATAACCTGTCATGATCAATAGTTTGATGAGTGCCAGCACACTCAAACCCTTGGTCATGATGACTTGTGATTTAATACTAGTACAACCATTGACAGCTTCTGAACAGATCCATCAACCTAATTTAATTCACAAATCTTGGGTCAACCTATGGTATGGTTTTTATGCACTTTCCAAAGTTGCTGCAGAAGAAGTGACAAATTGATCCTGGTGAGATTTTAACTTGGTCCTCATCATCAGAAAACAAACGTTCTAATCACCCAAACATACATTCAGAATGAGAGAGAGTGATACCAGCACATGTCCGAGTGGTTAGAAAGTTAGTTTTCTGACCATGAGGTTCGTATTCAAATCTCACCTGGTTGTTAAGGAGGCAAGTTCTTGATAATGTTGTCCTGGATGAGACACCACTGGGAAGTGCCACAAAACTATACCACAAGGTGACCCAAGCCTTGTGTGTGGAATTTAGTAAACAAAGCTGTTTAGAAGCCATCAACGGTTGTGCTAACACAATCACAAATCATTTTGATTGATGGTTTGAGCAAATTGGCATTGTTCAAACTGGTGATCATGCCGTAACTTGTGTTCTCACCCCGAAAACGTAAGATCCACTTAGTATAGTTGCATTATAAACCAATCAAAAGTGATTACCAAGTCACTCTAGCAGACAGTGATAGATATAAACATCCAGCCATAGAGAGAGATAGAGGGTGAATGAAAAAAGTTGGTAGATTAATGGATATCGTACTGAGATAAATAGATGTAAACCATGTGAATTTGACATAGGTACAAATCAATGAAGACAGATGGATAAACAGATACAACAGCAGATTTTTATGAGGGATAGAGTGTTTTCAGATACAAAGAGCATGGGTTTTGAAATTGACTGCCAGTCACCAAGCAGTGTTGATCTACACACACACACACAGAGTGGACTGAAAAGTTCATAGGCTGACTATGAAGAAGTGATGCTAGAGCTGTGAAATCTTGCATGCATTATTCAACTCTTCTCATTAATAACTGCATTGATTCTTTTCAGGTTAACTGACACCTGACTGTTCAAAAAAAAAATTCAAATCTGACTAGAAGTGACTTGTCTTGAAAACGGATAAAAGTTGGCATTATGCTGTTATCAAATACTTGCAGTGAAAGGGTGAGTCTTGAAGATGACCCAAGGTCTGTATATCCTGCAACTGTGGCCATTGAGGAAAACATCGTGTTCACCACATGTTTATGGTCATCCTAAGTAAGACGTTAAACTACGTCCAACAGCAAGGACTCTCATCAGGAGGTTTTGAGAAGCATGGAACCACCTCTTAATTGCTGGTTTTCCCAGGTCCACCATGACCCGGGGTGGTAGCACCTGTTAGGGTCCCAGCTATGGGCAAATAGTTAACTATTACCAGCAATACTTTTTTGACAAAAATTATTACCAGCAATAAAATTTTGAAGGAAATATATTACCAGAAATAAATTTTTTGACAAAACAAAATATTACCAGCAATAAAAATTTTTGTCGGCATTAAATAACCCATTGAGGTTGATATGCCGTAAAAGAAAATAAACCAAACCAATCTAAACCAACTAATACATATTCTATTCATACGAATCTATCCTAAAAATGTCGTTGGCATGAAATAACCCATTGAGGTTGATATGCCGTAAAACAAAATAAACCAAACCATTCTAAACCAAAGAATACATATTGTATTCATATGAATCTATCCTAAAAATGTTGTCAGCATGAAATAACCCATTGAGGTTGATATGCCGTAAAACAAAATAAACCTAACCAAACCACAAGCAATTGACTATAAATCAAATAGCCAATGCTATTAGCATATCCTGTGAGAGAGTCAAGAATATTTTGCACAATGAACTTGGCAAATTTTCTGCCACCTGATCAAAAGTCCATTAGACGGAGCTCATCATGGTAAAATCTAACTGTCTGTGGTAGATGCTGCTGGCTTTCTTGAACATTTTCCTAACCTGTGATGAATGTTGAGCCAGAGACAAAGAGACAATCTCACCAGCTCCAAAGAAGGCCAAGGTTGTTTAATCTGCAGGAAAGGTGACGGATTCAAATTTTTTTGGGGGAAAAGGTATTGTTTAGAGACTATCTTCAAAAGGGTCATACCATCAATGTGGAGTACTATGCCAACATTCTGAGGCAGTTATGAAAGACTATCAAGACCAAACGCCCAGCAAAATACTACAAAAGAGGACTTGTTTCATCAGGACAATAGTCCAGTACACAAATCCTTGGTTTCAATGGCTGATGTGCATGACTGTGATATTGAACTGGTTGATCACTGTCTCTATTCTGTTAATTTGACCATCCAACATGAAGAAAAAACAGTTAGCTGGGAAACAATACTGCAGTGATGATGACATTATATCAACTGTTGATGGCTTTTTTTGACCAACAAGATGAAAACTTGTTCACCAATGAGATCCAATCACTGCAACACTAGTGGAAGAAGTGTGTAGAATGGAAGGGGAACTGTGGAAAAATGAACCTCATTTGTTCATATTCCAGGAGAGTATCCTGGTCAACCTATGATTTATTAAACTCTCTCTCTCTCTATATATATATATATATATATATATATATATATATATATATATTATTCCTAGTATCCTGTTTTTTTAAAACTTGATACTAAATGTAGAGTAGAAAACCATGGTTTTAAGTACAGGATCTTTTGTATAAATATTATTCATTTAATGATTCTGATTATATGAATATATAATTGAAACAAATAAAGATGTGAATGAGCAGAGAAAGATGTATAGATGTGAACAGACTTACTGATGTGAATGAACTTGGAAGGATAGAGAAAGACTGAAGCAGACTTGGAGGGATAGAGAAAGACCAATGCAGACTTGGAGGGATAGAGAAAGACCAATGCAGACTTGGAGGGATAGAGAAAGACCAAAGCAGACTTGGAGGGATAGAGAAAGACCAAAGCAGACTTGGAGGGATAGAGAAAGACCGAAGGAGACTTGGAGAAGGAAAGACTTGGAGACTTGGAGGGATAGAGAAAGACCGAAGGAGACTTGGAGGGATAGAGAAAGACCGAAGGAGACTTGGAGGGATAGAGAAAGACCGAAGGAGACTTGGAGGGATAGAGAAAGACCAAAGGAGACTTGGAGGGATAGAGAAAGACCAAAGGAGACTTGGAGGGATAGAGAAAGACCGAAGGAGACTTGGAGGGAGAGAGAAAGACCGAAGGAGACTTGGAGGGAGAGAGAAAGACAGAAGTAAACTTGTAGAGACAGAGAGAAACAGAGTTGTATAGATAGATGAATATGAATAAGTTTGTATGGATAGATTGACTTGTATATACAGATATTAACAAATCTAGTTTAACATGAAGAGATACATATGAATATACTGTTAGATATGAACACACATCTGATAAAGAGATATGAACAGATTTGATATTTCCAAAGTTATTGTATGGCACAAGACCAAATAGGAAGTAATATAGGTTTTTATCTTGTCTTCTAATACATAACAGCAAGAGCTGGATCAACTTAAACAGAATCAGATGGATTAACTGAATAAGAAGATTGATAAATTCTGATGTTATGAGGCATATTGGAGTATAATGAGATACATTATCATATTTTGATAGATTTATACCTAAATAGGAAGGAATGCAACAGAATAACAGACAAATAGGGATGTATATAAACAGTGATGCAAACTAATAAACCAATAGACTGTAACACAATTATCTATGTCACATGAATCTTTTCCATTTACAAACTTCACCTAGGAACTGAATTGAAAGGAAAATATTCTAAGTAGATAAATTCAATTTCTTTATGCGCATAATTTGAAGATTTCTGTTTTTTTTTCTTTTTTAAAAATATTAGAAAAGTTGTTGCAAAAATTGATTTTGAATTCACCCTATAAAAATTATTTGTCTGACATTTAGTCAATTTCTTTATGTACATAATTTTAAAATGATTTTTTCAAAATAACATATAACATTTTGTGTTAAGAAATTTTTAATTCACACTATAATATTTTTCTGAAATTTTTTAGCAATTCTTTTATGTACATAATTTTAAGTTGTCTATTTTTTTTCATTTTTAAAATACCAGATAAGTTGCTTTTTTTTTGTTATTTTAAACTGTCATTTCAATCAATAGAAGGCATGAGGTAATGATTAGCAGTTGTGATTGAGGTATTGGAGTGCTGAGTTCGAATTCAAGTAAAGTTCATTACATTCATTCATGTGCTAATACCCTTTGGGAAGATATGAATCCATCTCTTCTCCCTCCAGTTATGGGTAAATAGCATGACATCCTGGGTTCTATAGCCTTGGGTGGTAGCCAGTCTAGGAGAAGAAAAATTCTGAATTCCAAGTGTAATGTCAATTGACATCTGACACCCTGAGCTTGTTTCCCGTTCTTCTCTGTATCTAACATGCCTCTTTACTCTTGTTCTCAATCCTCTGTAACCCATTGCATGCTAGAGGCACTCCTGCCTTGCTTGCGGTGAATTGCCTTAAAGAAAAAAAAACAAGAGAGTATTATGAGGATGAGTACAATAGATATCGGTTGACTCTGGACTTAAAGAGACAAAGATTGTAATTGTCAGGGAAGCATTCTCTTGGGAGTTTGTTCCACAAAGTCATAGTTCTGGAGAAGAAGCTGTCTGAGTGGAACTTGCTTTTTATTAAAGGAACATGAAGGAAATGGAGATGATTTACCACCATGAACTGGACATGGTGAATCCTAGCTGTGAAGGTCCAAGCCAACAAAACTAAGGAATGTAACTTGTCCAAACATCTGCCATAGTAATAGACATATAGTAGTAAGAGGCTAGCAACATTTCATCTGTGGAATAAGAGTTGCATGAAGAATAATTCATCACCCACAAGGCCACATAAGCATTTCTATCGAGGATGGAGAGTGAGGATTGGGTAAATCCAACCCAAATATTGCAGCAATGTCTTATTCTTGGTCTAATCTGATACTGGTAAAAATATAAGCATAGCAGCAGAAGTTAGGTACTTTCTGGAGAAATATAATGAATTGAACATTCTTTTAGCGTCTTATGAAATGGCATGAATATACACATTCCACTTGTGGTTGGAAGTGAACTTTAGACCCAGGAATTTGAGGCAAGGAGCTTCT